TGAGATTTTTTATTGACCTTTTCGGAATTGTTATTTTAAAGTCGACAATTTGATTGTGCACCTAATTTACTTATAATATTTTGAAATTATGTTTTGATATTATTATATACTCTAGAAGCTCTACATTTATATTTGTAAGAGTTGGGTTAGGTTAGGTTGGATACATAAATGTATTATGAAATTATAGTTTGAGTTAGAATTAGGAAATATTAAGTAATTAAAGTGTGATATTATGAATTAGATGGAAGTTTGTTAGAACATTGATTAAAAATATTGTTTTGGAAAAGGTATAAATATTATGTAATTATAGTTTGTGTTGGAATCAAGAAGTATTAATTAATTAGGTTGTGATGTTGTGAATTGAATGGATATTTTGATTACTACAAGTTTAATAATTATGATTTAGATATTCGAGACTTGCTTGAGTCAAAATAAATCCCACGACTTCGTCGATTCTCATGTCGGTCATGGTCCATATGTTAGTGTAGGTGTCCAAATCCAATCTTTTTTTTTATGGTTTCACTTATTGTAATATTTTATTCTTTATTTAATTAATAAAAGATATCTTTCTATTAGTTCTTTTTGTTTATATTTTGATAGAATTAGATAAAGTCTATATGATATGCATTACATTAATGATTAATCAAAAGATATGAGATAAAGATTAATGCACTTAAATGATATTATTAAATATCCCAAGTCGTAGCATTATCAAGAATGAACATTGACTATATTTAGTAAGACCTGTGAGTGGTATGCTTATGCTATAAGATAGTAGTAGGAGATCTTACACATATTGGTATAGTGATACCAAAGCAAGCATTTAGGTGATTAATATTAGATAACATATCATTGGATGCAACTAGCCATGAGAACCCATTTGGTTTAATTTATAAGAATCTCATCCGAGATGGCTATAAATGGTTCTTTGACTTGAATCATTACGGTTATCTCATTAGAGGATTTATGTACTTGACACCGATTTTGATGAGATCAGTCAAGAGCTATATGTAGGTGATTCATTATGTGCACCGGGAATCTAATGGAGATAGATGGATGATTAAAATAGGACATGTCATTTCTTGTATGCTAAATAAGTTATCACATTACACTTTAATGAATGTCTACTTAAGGAATTCGTGGCCATAGTAAAAGTATACTAATGGAATATCGTTGGTTTACTTTAGAGTTAAGACATTTGAGAATTGAAGAAAACTTGTGTGATCATAATCGAATAGACTATAAGCCAAGTTTGAGATCATAATATGATAAATTGACATGAGGATCTGAATTGTATGGTAACCATGCTCAATAAAGGTAACTCGTCGATTAAGTAAGCCTTCAAGAGAATTAGGTAGTTATGATACCTTGCTAGAGGCCAATTTTAATTTATATATCAAGAGATAAATAAGTGTCTTTTATGCTTGATGCATTTCCAATATATCTAGGAGCTTATTGAGTTATGTGCATAAGTTTAAGAATTCACATAGTAAAAGAGAAGCAAAGATTTTGGAAAAAGGTTTCTAGTTTTGAAAGTTTCTTATTTTGAAAAAAAAAAAACAAAAAAGTTTTTAAAAATGAAAAGTTTTCTGTTTTGGAAAGTTTTCTATTTTAGAAAAAGATTTTCTAAAATGAAAATTTTTCTATTTTGGAAATGAGTTTTCAAATTTGAAAATTAGTTCCAAATTTGAAAGTTAGTTACTTAAAAGGAAAATTAGTTTTCTAATTTATGTATAAGGATAATTTGAAAATTATTTCATAATGTGGGTTATACTAAAATACTTGATCCAATTTATTTGGATGATCCAAATTAATTAATAATTAATTAGGCTAAAAGAGTTTGGGCCAATATGCTTAATTTAAAAGCACTGTAAGATATTTTGATAAGATGATAAACTTGAGCCTTGTTAGATAAGGCTTATAGTTTATAAGGATAAGATGAAACAAGCCCACACATGTTGTAACTCTTTATCCTTGGAGGACAAGGTTGCCGCCCCCTCATATAAATAATGAGAGGGAGGTAGAAAAGGAGAGAACAAGAGAGACACACACTTGGCAAAATAAAAGAAAAAAGAAAGAGAAAGTGTTTCTCTCCCCAAAAGCTTGAGTTGCCGTATCCCTCCTTAAAAAAAACCCTAATTGATTTTTTTAGAAAGCAAATCAACTACATAGAAGGATTGGATCTAGCACTTTATGATTTTTGTAGCTTTCTTTGTGGGTGTTTAAGTTGTATGAATTATCGATAGAGGCCAAATACTTGGGTAACTCATTTTTACAAAGGCTAAATCGTACTATAAGAGATAAATCTTTTACTCATGCATTCAATTCATTTATTATAATTAATTGATTCAACGGTTTGATTTTAAGAGCCTTAGATGGAGAAATTTTTTATTTTATTTCACACCTCAATAGGATGCAAGATCCTTCACCACGTCGGGTCGTGACAAGGTTAGTATTCTACATAGGTTTCAAAGTCTAACTACAAAGCATAGGTTTTATTCTAACCCATATATTTACTTTGGATTATTTTTCTTCCTTGAATTCATATCTCTTGAAATATGTCGAATCTAAATTTGTGTTTCATATAGATTGCCATGGTCAAGATTAGGTCGGGTAGTCTTTTGGTTTTTTCTTATGATGCTAAGGTATTGTTTGATTCGGACGTATTCGATTCTTTTATATTGTTGTATTTTGTCAAAAGATTAGTGTGAGTCCATGTGCGTTAGAGTAGTCTTTGATGGTGTCGGCATTTGTTAAAGAATTCTAATAGTTGAATTGATGTTTAAAAATTATGATGGTTAGAAATTTACCTATAACTTTATGTTAGTGTAGGTACTCGAGATCCTACCTATTTAGATGATTTGATATATTGTAACATTATATTTTCTATATTAATAAAAAAAATCTTTCTATTATTTTTTGTTATTTATAATTTGATAGAATTAGATAAGTTCATATGATATGCATCACATTGATGATTGATCAATTGATGTGAGACGATTAATATACTTAAATGACATCATTAAATGTTACAAGTTATAGCATTGTCAAAAATGGACATTGATTACATACGGTAAGACTTGTGAGTGCTATACTCTTACTATTAGATAACAATAAAAGACTCAAATCTATCGACATGGTGATGTCAAAGCAAGCACTTAGGTGAATAATGTTAGAAAACATATATCACTAGACGTGACTCGTCATAAGAACTTATTTGGTTTAGTCTATAAGAATCTTGTACTAGATGAGTACAAATGATCCTTTGACTCTAAGTCATCTCATTTATCTCATTGGAGGATTGGTGTACATTAACATTCGTTTCGATGGGCTCGGTAAAAAGCTATATATGGGTGATTCGTTGATTGCATTAGGAATCTAATGGAGATATATGGATGATTGAGATTAGACATGCCATTCTTTATATGCTAAAGGAATTATCACATTATACTTCGATGAATATCTCGTTTAAGAAATTTGTGACCACAACGAAGTATACCAATTGAGCATAATTAGTTTACTTGTAAGCTAAGACATTTAGAGATCGAAGAAAACTTGTATGATCATAATTGAATAGACTATAAACAAGTTTGAGATTAAATTATGATAAATTGACTTGAGAACTAAATTGTATGGAAACCATTCTCATGAAAAATAATTATGGATTAATTAGTCCTCTTAGACAATTGGGTAGTCATGATGTTTTGCTATAGATCAATCTTGATTTATGTATCAAGAGATAAAAGATGTGTTTTTTATCTTCTTCATACATTGCCAACATATCTAGGAGTCTATTGAGTTACACATATAAGTTTAAACATTCACACAATAAAAGAGAAGCAAAGGTTATTAGAAAAGGTTTCATGTTTTGGAATGTTTCTTGTTTTGGGAAGTCAATTTTCTATTTTAGAAATCGAGTTTTCTAATTTAAAAGTCGAGTTCCAAATTTGAAAGACATTTACCTAAAAAGAAATTAGTTTCCTAATTTAGGTTTATGGGTAATTTAGGAAATTGTTTCAAAATGTGGGCTCCATTAAAATATTTGACTCAATTTATTTAGATGGTTTAAATTAATTGGTAATTAATTGAGCTAAAAGAGTTTGGGCCAATAGGTTAATTTAAAAGCCTACATGATATTTTTATGTAAAGATCTTGAGCACTATTAGATAAGACTTCGGGTTTACAAGGATAAGGTTAGACAAAACTCATATAAGCAACATCTCCTTAACCTACAAGGAGAAGTTGCCGCCCTATAAATAATAGAGAAATAGAGAGAGAGAGAGGGGTGGCATAACATATCGGGAAAACAGAAAGGAATAGCACTCTCTCTTAAAAAATTTGGCCAACTTCTCTCTCACTAGGGTTGATGCAAATTACCCTAAAAGTATTTCTAGAGAAAATTCACTACACATAATAGTTAGAACTAGCACACAATGATTTACGTTACTTCTAGTGTGGATGTTTGAGTTGCATGAATAATTAATAGAGGTCGGACGCTTGGATAGTTCTTTTACGCTTGAATTGTTTCTATACTACAAGAGATAATCACTTACCTTAATCTTATTCATATTTATGTATGATTAGTTTATTTAACGGTATGATTTTGGGAACCTTAGATGGAGAATTTTTTTTATTTATTCCGCACTAGCTTTGATAGAATTAAAAAATAAACAAATTTATTAAAAAGCTTCCTTGGATGGTGTAGTTTTTTTTTTTAAAAAAAGAGGCAGTCGCATAGATTGTTTTTTATTTTGTATTTTGTTATATTTTAATCATATTTTTGTTGGCTCTTTCTAATCTATCGTATCGATTGATTTTCATTAAAAAAAAGTGTAAAAAATAAAATAAAAATTCAAACCACTGATTAAACTCAAAACTAAACTACACAAAATAACTTCCTAGCTACCCCCCCCCCCCCCCCCAACAAAATAAATAAATAAATAAAATAAAAAATAAAATAAATAAATAAAAAAACCTTAGCTAGCTAGCATCAACTGATCTTAGTTGACTATCACTTTACAAGGTTCCACAAACTCACACTTGACTGCTGAATCCACCTTTCTCGGTTTGCGAAGAAGAACATAAGCTGGACAATGCACGATCAATTGATATATTCCAGGAATCATGGACGAGCTAATCTTCCATTTCAGCCTCCCATTAATCTTGATAGGCAGTGGCACGCTGCCAGATTTCAAGTCCGCCACCAAATCAGCCAAAAGTGGAGAAATGGGTACATCTTTCCCATACGAAAACGGAGAACACACAGAGATCTCTTTGTGATCTAGGTAATTAAGTACTAGGCAACGGAGTTGCCAGGGTTATCCTTTGGTTTCGATAGATTGCATGTAAACCAAGCTTTTCATAGAATATCCTAATAAGGTGATTAGGGTTTCTTGTAGATAAAGTAACCTGCATGTTACAAGTTAGCAAGTTTGGATTTGAAATATTCAAGCCATAGACAGTAGTGTCGTGAATGATAAACTGTGGCTTATGGGGCCGTGGAAAGGAAAAACAAATTAAGAATATTACGCCAATGATGATGAGAGCACCACCAGCTAAAGCCCAGAAGTGCTCCTTCTTTTTGCCGTAAGGGGCATCAGTATTTGAGGAATCCATAGTTGAGTTCCTAACTGTGAAAACAATACACACAAGAACGGGTTATGATATGAAGATTAGAAGACAGTACCATTATGTATACGCACAAATAATTAATTTAGTAAAAAAGTTAACCCTAGAAGCAGGAGAGCAAATATTTCTGTGTGTCTCATTGGGTAAGACCTAGGATCTGATCATATCTATCTATATATATATATATATATATAAAACCTGGTTCAACACTTCCTAATACTCTTTTGTAGCCATCATAAGACCCAAGGCATGCTTAATTTGTCCATGTCTATGGAGTGTATGCGGCCATAAACTCCAAGGTTTAGGTGAAAGACACGCATGCCCATCAATAATATTAATTGGTTAAAACCTGATCAGCTGATTAATTTCTCGGGTCTGCTTTCTTGGTGTAATGTATCATTAGGGTTTTAAGTCTGCCAATATTGATGATGCCATCACTTTTTTACTAATTTTAATTATATTCAGTACAGAGTAACTAAATGAGTTTTTTTTTTTTTTTAATCTTATTTCTTATAATAGAGTAGTTTTAAATTTATTTTTCATAATAACGTACGCTAGGCCAAATAATAATCATTTCATTTAAACACATTGACATTTCAGTTTTATTTTTTATTTTTTCTAAAAAAATATGTTATCATCATAAATTACTCTCTCCTTTTACTATTTTCTCTCTATATCAACTTGTTTTTATGCTTCTTACGCCTTTAATGGCTACCACAAGAAGAACCCACCTCCTACAAGCTGCATTTTTTGCTAAACAGTACAACTTTCTAGTAAGATAGGATCTTGAGAAAGAATAGTTGTAGAGTTCGATATCCAATATCAAATTTTCTAATCTGTCATACTGCAGAAGTTTTGAATCTGATTTGTTTTCAATTATAACAGTCCATAACCTAAATTCACTGTTTGGTAGATCTCTTCTCTTGAAAAATATTTTTTCTTTTCAGCAAACCTTGTTTCCCCTTCCAAAATTATTTTTCATTGCTATGACTTAAGCCACAAATCCTCTAAATTTTTATTTTTATTAATTTTCATGCTCTTAGTTTATTGGTCACTCGGAATCCTAAATCTATAGCTGTTTCCAAATAATAGAGCTTGAATTCATATAATATGGTTCGTATTAGATTTCTTAACTTCTTTGTCTATCTGCACCTATTGCAAGTACTGAAACTGTCAACTTTCCATCCGAAAAATTCAACCTATCTTCATTTGTCTTAAATCATGACTCAAAGTCAAAATTCACAATTCAGAGTTTTTAAAACTTACTCTAAGTCACTCTTGCATTTCGTACCTGGTAATGGGAAGGATGAATTACTTGGTAGTCTTTTTTAGATAGAAAATCCGTGGGAAAGGCGCTTCAACATTTTGCTGGCAAAGATAATTGAGGTATTGGTGAAAGTCTGCATAATAATAAAACTGAATTTCCTGATAATGATGATAGTGATTTATTTTCCTTAAAGGAGTGATGTGTTTTTTTTTAGTTTCTAGTTAAAAAAGGATGCAGGTATCTAGTGGTGACATTCGTGGATGCAAGGAGCTCATCCAGCTTAATAAGCCTCTCTTCGTCGTCGTTTTGTGATCTGAATCGTTTCAAGATTAGTGCCTTCCCAAAAAGCTGGAATGAATTGATTCATTCCAATACATTCTTCGTTGACAGAGTTGGGAAGAATAATAAAAGTTCAAACTAACTACCAATTATATATAAATGCAGACAATCACAGCATGGTAGAAAACAGTCAGAAATATCATAGGGGTAGAAATGAGAAGTTTTGAAACATGCCATGAAAATTCTCCAAATTTTGTTCTGAAAAAAGGCTTGTCTATATTAGAATGTCAGTTTACAATATCAAATTTTCCAATATGTCATATTGTAGAAGTTTTGAAATCTGATCTGTATTGTTGAAGTTTTGAAATCTGATATGTTTTCAATTATAATAGTCGCATAACCTAAATTCACTACTTGACAGGTCTATTCTCTTGAAAAATATTTTTTACTATTTGTGACTTTGAATTGTAAGAGTATTTGAACTTTAATAAATTAAGACAAAAACATTAAAAGAGAGACAAAAAGAACGTAAATTATTCGAGGTTACCAATTTCTTTCTTTGAATAGGTTACTGGGATTTATAGGGCCATGAGTGTGAGAATTAAGCCAATACAACGAACTGTTCAATCATTATTCGAGGTATTTTTTTCTTTTCTTCTTGCCTAATTAAATGAGTTTGGCCTCTTCAAGCTCTATATGATGGGGATTTCCTAACGCAATGAACTATTCCTTTTCATTGTAGACTTACATAGACTGCCTTCATGTAAAGAAAACTGACAAGTAACGAATGCTGTCAGAGGATCCCATGAAAGTTGATAATGGTAATGGTTCGTGTGGGATTGAGGAAGATTTCCAATTTGATGAAGCAAAGGTGCATTAAAATTACATTTTTCTTTATTCGAGAAAGTATTTTTTTTTTTTCATTCTTGTCAGCTAAGATCGCATTCTTGTTTGCAATTGCAGATAAAGCAATTGAAGGAGCTATCAAGAAATCCTGATATATTTGATAGACTGACCAGGTCCTTGGCATCAAATATCTGGGAGCTTGATGATGTGAAAAGAGGTCTTCCTTACCAGGTATTTGTATAAGTTTGACTCGCTGCACTTCTACACCCCTACTCCTATGGACGTTATGAAGTTTTAAGTCCTTTAATTATGTCCGCATCAATAACAATTGTTAGTGTATCATATAAATATCCTGCTTGTTGGTGACCCCAGAACAAGCATGTCTCAGCTGCTTCAATACATGCATAAACTATCTCCCCCGTAGCATCTACACCAATGGAAGAGGAAGTTCTGCTGGGGGTTTTGAATGCTTATAACAGGGGAAACAGTATGAAACTCCTTTTATATAACCCTTCTATTTTCTGATCAAGCTACCAGCTCTAGAATATATGTGCATTTATGTGAGATATTGATATTGATGACGTAATCTTGTTGGTTCTGGAGAGTGGAGCACTTGTTTTAAGTGACAGAGGCATCTTTTGTATTGATGAATTTGACAAAATGTCTTAAAATGCAAGGAGAATGTTACATGAGGTTGGTCATATTTTCTGTTCTCCAAATTGTTTAGACATATAAAAGAAGCTCTTTGTTAAATAGCAGACTCAGACCCTTCAAAGGAAACTGAAAACAAGTGCATTTTTATTCTTGTCTTGTATGCTTTTTTAGGTTTTCTATGTGTCAGTTTTGACAATTTAAATGACTATGCTTGGGAGAGAAGTTCCCTGTTCGTCCAGAAAATATCCAAGTAAATATAGTTTTTTTCTAGCAGAAGAATAGAATAGCAAAGCATCACTTGAACATATTCCACTTTGCATTAAACTTTTTAGCATATTGTCTACTCAGAGTTTTAAGTCCTACACTTTTTGTTATGAAAGTTCCTAATCTTACTTCAATTATTGCAGGTAATGGAACAGCAAATCATCTCCATTGCAAAGCCTGGAATTATTGCTTCCCTTAATGCCAGAACTTCAGTATTGGCTTGTGCAAATCCTGTTCGTTCAGGTTAAAATCCTCGGGTTTCTGTGATTGACAATTTACACCTTCCTCACACCTTGTCCAGGTAAGGAATATGATCCATATGCCATGCAAACTGAGGTAGTTGATACTTGGCAGTATTGAAACGTACATGACTATGGACTTGCTTATATGCTATAAAATTGAATATAATATTTTTATATTTTTAATGTTTTTTCTAAATGTCTTAATTTTAGCTGTTATATGTCAGTACTGCCCATGTTAAATACAATAATTGTTGAAAGATATTTGATTCTATTAAGTGCCTTTTGTTGGTAGAATTACTAATTGTGGATGCTGTCTCAGGTTTGATTTGATTTACATAATTCTTGACAAGGCTGATGAACAGACAGACAGGCATCTTGTCAAGCACATAGTTTCTTTGCACTTCGAGAATCCTGAGGTATGATGAATTCTAGCAGTGCTTGTTACTTGAAGCTCTACCTTTGATCCTGTGAAAAAAATTTCTGCTTGCAGAGTGCAGTGCATGACGTCTTAGACATTGCTACATTAACTGCATAATGCATATGTGAGCTATGCTCGGAAGCATATTCACCCATGAAGCTACCGGAGAGTTGACTTGAGGATACGTTGAGATGAGGATATGTGAGCTATGCTCGGTGTAAATTATCCGATAATAAACTAAGTTATCTCAAACATTGACTATTGCCAGTATAAATTTTGGGCAAATCTCATATGAGAAGAAATATAAACCCTGAAGACAAAGCTCTATAGAATCAGGCTCTCATTTATCAGGAAACAGTGGGTTGAGAATGCTGCCACGACAAGCCTAGGTTCACACTAGTGACAAAGGTGGGAACAGCAGAAGGATATTATGACCTTAACAACTCTAAGCAAACATTGAAAGCGTATAAAGAAACTAATATTTCTGAGTTGATAATATGAACGAAGAAAATAAGAAGAAACAAATTCCAGCAGGTGTCAGACCTTGGATTCTTACAGAAGCATTCCCTCAAGCATCAACATATTATGCTCGGTGTAGTATTCCTCTTCCATACACTACCATCACATTGCCTTCCTTGAAATTGGAATTGTTTGCGCAATGCTCATTATAAGTACCAAAGTCCTAAGTATCCCTTTGTGGTATTTTTCAATTGCTTAAACAACCATAAAAAGAAAATAAAAACTCCCTCCCTCATCTCTTGTTAGTGTTAAGAAAAATTATAGCTCCATAACTTATATTCTAGAATCTGCATATGATAATTGTACTGGCAACATATCTAATTGATGGAAAAGGTCCTTCACTGAGCTTAGAAACAAATTCTGCTGCTTCGGAAGTCCCTGAACCAGAATATGCAAAAGAGGAAACTTAGAATAATAATATTTTTGCATGAACAATTATTTAGCATGCAGATTAGTGAGAAGCATACTTCCAAGCCGCGATCTGAAGTATCACAGCAAAATTAGGAGACAAAGGTGAGGGATGAAATTATCTGCATAAATATAAAATTAAAAAAAATAAAAAAACACAAGTCGCGAAATGGGCTGCAAGTTGATGCAAAATGTACCAAGTCAACAAACTCAAAGTATTCGTCAAAAAAATTATTTTGTTCAGTGGGAAATGCATCAAAAAGTGATGCGATTCTCCTCCAGCAATCTATTTCCATTCCCATATGGTGCTGGTATAAGGAATCTGTCATCCTCAGGCTTGAAGTCCATTCTCATCATATGAGAATGCGGGCCACGATAATTAGTCCTGTAATCAAGTGATAATGATAATAGCACTATGAATAGTTTCATGATGCAAATCTGAGGTTTTTTTAGAAAGGACGAAAGAAAGTTCATGAGTCCGCATAGATTCCGTGTCTCATTGACAATGGCAAATAGAATGGCAGAAAAGTAATAAAAAAAAATTAGCAATAGGTTGGATTCACAAATAAGGACCTTTCTCTCTAGGCACCAAACCCATAGTTGTAGAATTTTCTTGCTGAGAAAATGGAAAGGGAAGGAAAGAAATCAAACCAGACAGCAGTTTTCTTGGAGAATCAACTCCTCATTCACCAGCACACAACAAGTTGAGAACGTTTAGTCCAACAGGAAGCCTATAGTAACGCTAGCAGCGGAGATGGCTAGACGGATAGAAGAAGTAGAAAACCAGGATACCATGACCTTAACAACTCTTAAGAAAGACAAATTTTCACACTTCATGAAAGACAAAAATTAAAAACCTAGTCTGCGATCAGACAGAACAATACGTGAAAAGTATCCTAGAAAATTCTTGTTTAGTTTAGCAGTTCGAAGAATTAGAGAAAAGGGGGAATCAAATCCAGCAAAGGAACCGCGGTTGCATAACCACATTCAAGAGAAAACACAACCCATCTTCCAGGTGTCTTCTATCACCAAGAAAAAGAAACAAAAAAAGGAAAAAAAAAAGGCAGAGAAAGAAAGAGAGAGAGGGAGGGAGGGAGGGAACCGCGGTCGCATAACCACATTCAAGAGAAAATACAACCCATTTTCCAGGCATCTGCTATCATCAAGAAAAAAAGGAAAAAAAAAAAAAAACCAGAGAGAGAACTAGAGAGAGGGAGGGGAGAAGAAGGAAAAGAAGTCGAACAACACAATAATCCAGTCCTATCATTTCCTATCACAGGAAATGATAGTGGATGAACTATAGATAGGTTTTTTTTTTTAACAGCACAAGAAAATAAGTAATGAGATTAACACTTTTGATGGTGGTAAATTTAACAGCAGAAGTTATGAAATTCTTCTTAAAATATAAGCCCTGAAAATTAAGAATGTACAATATACAAATTAAAAGAAAATTTTATCAAAAATAAATAAATAAATAAAAAAGAATTTAGAAAAATATCTTAATTAACAATATACATATGATAAAGAACTTTTCTAGTAAATGTAATTTTGAATTATGAGAATATTTAAATTTTAAGAAATTAGGACAAAGATAACAAAAGAGAGACAAAGAGTAATTTTTTTAAAATTATTATATCAAATATTTATTATAACACTTAATTAAAAAAATGACATGAATATTTATAAGGTAAAACTATTCCTTTTTTATACATAGGATTTAAAATATCTTATTCTAAAAAAATAGATTAAAAAGTATTTTATTTAGAGAAAAAACTCGTATCTAATTTGAAATACTCCCCAAGAGATTCGGCGACAAATTGTAATGAGTTCAAGCTGATTTTGCGTTTATTATTACCACAGTAACCTAAGAGAACCAAAGAATTATTGTCGATTAATAAATCCTGCAATGACAAACGCAAGACTGATAATGAGAGAGTTCCAAGATCTGCATATACATCTTAATTTTAACGAGTATTTCATGGGCAGTCTTGTAATTAAGAATGTCGATCAATAAATCCTGCAGAAGATGATCCAACATTTTCTATTATTGATAGCGAATAAGACACAGAAAATGTTTCTGAAGTGAAAAAAATAAAAAATTGTTTGGGAAATAATGGAGGTGCGTTTTTTTTTGGCAATTTTACATTTATTTATTTTTTTATTAAATTAGGATGGATTTACTATTTTTTAGAACCTATAATTGCCAAAGTGTCAATTACTTATTGATGGACTTTGATAGTAACATGCCATGTTAACTTAAAAATGGACCACATCATAAAGTTCTTTTTTTTTTTTTTAATAAGGTATTTTTAAATCTTATTTCTTATAATAAAGTAGTTTTAATCTTATTTTTCATAAAAAGTTACTCTATGTCACATAAGAACCATTTCATTTAAATATATTGATGTGTCGAGTTTTAATTTTTTTTTCTTTTAAAAAACTATCTTTTTTCTCGTCTCATGTTCTTATTCTTCTTTTGCCTTCAATAGCAACTACAAGAAGAACCACTACAACAAAAAACGAGATATAGAGGTAGAATTATTGAGGTGGTTTACAAAACCGCCTTAAAGCCTTTTAACATTTGCATTGAGGTGAGACTTCTATAGAAAAAAATTGAGGCGGTTCACAAAATCACCCCAAGTCTGTAAGAGGTGCGAATTTTATTTCATAATATATATTTTTAATTTTTTTTTTAATTTGTTTCTAAAAGGGAGAAGGGTGTTTCATTTTCCCTCTCTTTAGGGTTTTCCAGCTTCTCTTTCTTTGCTTATGCTTCTCGATTTGTTGCTTCCTTCTTCTCCTTCGCTTCATGATTTTAAATTTCTTTTGGTTTTGAAAGGGATAAGGTCGGATATCAAGAGTTTTCCTTCTACACCTAATCTTTTTCTCCTCTACTTTTTGCATCTTCTCGCTCTGCTACTTGAGAGTTTTCCTTCTTCACCTAATCTTCTTCTCCCCTACTTCTTGTGTATTCTACTCTACTTCTTCTTTCTTATTTTCATTTTTTTTAATTCGAAAGGGATAAGAATGCTACATTATCCCTCTCCTCTTAGGGTTTTTCTTCTCTTTTACTTCGTTCTTCTCTCCAAATCAATTGGGCGATCATTGTGGATTTTCTCATTGATCTCTCTAATGGTAAGTATGCTAAATTAATTTTGTGGCCAATCAATTAGATTACCTGCTCTTTTCTTTTCTAATTACCTTTAAATTTTTGGTCTAATATTGTAATTGTCTTGTTCTTATTTTGTAACTTTGAAGTTTTGAATTCCTATCCGACTTGTTGTGTCATGGCTACATAATCAAGTTGTTAAAAGTGAGAAACATACGTATCAAGTCGGTTGTAGAAAGATGTCTTAGAGAATGTTCCATCACATTTATCCAATGTTGAGGTTGTCAATGATTTTGCCAAAGATGCATCGGCATTAAGCTCGCATTAGGACATCTTTTTCGGTAAACATACGAGAGTTAGTTGTAGAAGGCGAGAGTTCTAATTTGTTGCATTATCACATCGTAAGTGCTAGATAAACATACGTATCAAGACAAATAGACGATCAATTGCATTATCACATCATAAGTCCTGGATAAACATACGTATCTTAGTGATTCAACTATTTGTCCTAGAGAATGGCAATGCATCAGCAAAATTAGGACATCCTTTTAAGAAGAATCCGAGGTGTAGTCCTTACATTAGTGAGGCCTACTAGCAAAAAAGAAAAAGTCAATTGTAGAAAGAAAACTAAAACAAGTTTTGAAGTTATCCTTTAGGTTGAGATGGTTTGGAACATAATTTTGCTTAATCAAATTTAAAGCTACTAATGTAGTGAATTCCTTATTTGTTAAGAAATAGTTTTCTACACAAATAGGTATATGTCATGTGATATGGGATTCTCTTGCAATCGGCTCTAGGTGCTTTTTTTGCTAAATCTTGTAGTATTCGGTCATCCTCTAGCTGAACGTTATAGTACTAGGTAGCCCTTGTAGAGAGAATACAATTTTTTAATAGTCAAAAGTCATAATGGCCAAGACTATATAATCCAAGTGTCTATTTTATTTATGGAATGGTATTCTTTAAATGGTTCTCTTCTTTTTGGAAACAAAAGTCGACTTGAGTAGGATATGGCTTTTAAAGTCTGAAACACACGAACCAAAACCTAGCCTTGGTCAATGTCAAAGATTAGAAAATTAGGCATTTAGATTCACAATACCCATGTTCCCGACATCATTTAGCTAGACACCTTAACATTTTTTTGATAATATTTAACTTTCACCATTTTTTAATTTACTAGAAAGTCGAGGTGAGCATTTAGAGTGGGTTATTGATCGGCTAAGCATTCTACTTCAAAGACTTGTATATATAATAGATATGCCTAAAACTCAGGGTGAGAATTTTTATTGGGATCAGAAGATTGGCTTGAATCCTTCATTTTGTTTTATAGCCATTGGTCTTTCGAACTTTCGATTGATGTAACAAAAAAAAAAAAAAAAACCTTTTCGCACTATACTTGAAATGTTGGTCCGTTAATAAGTAGTATATCCCATGTTAGTTTTGTTACTCGAAACTCTTAAACCGCCATCGGTTCAAGGCAGCTCGTGAAATACACATTCAAATATTTGGTTTCAAATTCAATCTCTTTGATTCTTTGTAGATTGTTTTAGGGATAAAAATGGGTATTCATTCAAAGGAATTTCAAGCTTTTATGTGGAGAGTTCTTAAATTTTTCATGAATTCGGATGTTTCGTTATCTATGCTATTTGATACTTGTTTCTTCCTTTAGTATTCTATTTCTTGATTGGTATTTTTTTATTTATTTGTAGATTGAAATTGAATGTAGAGAACAGTGGAAACATCGGACAAGATTAACTTTTAAAGGCTCGTATGGTGAGTACAATTACATCTTTCTTTCCTTTTTTTTTTTTAATTATGTTGTGATAAATTTTTTTTTTCTTCTAACTAATCAAACTAATTTTTTTTTTTTAGTATTTTTATGGTGGTTCAACTGAGTTGATTGAAGCATATTTGGTGGCTAATTTAAGTGACTACTTCAAGGTAAATTTCTTATCACAACTAAGACAATAAACCTATTGCATCTAACTTGTATTTGTGCTTGAAAGGAGCTATGATTTTTTGCAATCAAATGGTTGTTGATATTTGAGATTACAAAAGTGTTAAGTGCTAAATGTGTTGATAAGTACTTTATGACATAGCTAGTTGGATGAACAATATTTATGAAATGGGTTGATAATCAAATGGTTATTGAAAAAAATTATAACATTCTTTTAGGGATTCTATAATATTTATGAAATGGATAGAAGTTGGATGAACAAGACTAGAACTAATATTGAATATAAAAAAAGAGTTAAGGAATTTCTTGAATTAACATTTCGTAATAAATCTCATGGTGAAAGAATTTTTTGTCCTTGCATTTGATGTGGCAATTCTTCTTTACAAACATATGAAGATGCTAGAGTTCACTTAACTTGTGATTGGTTTTTAAGGGGTTATACTTGGTGGGTTTTTCATAGAGAGCGTTCTTCTTTTAGTATCATTAGGTTATCTTCTTATGTTTCTATCTCACATGAATTAGCGAGTGAGTTATACTCATGAACTAACTTCTATTGATGTGAATCCACGACGATCGGATGATATGGTGGGGTTGTTACGTAATGCTTTTGGTGTAGTTGGTCAATGTGATAATGAAATGATAATGAATATAGATAGAATAAGTGAATATGAATGTGAAAAAATCATGATGAGCCAATGAATGATGAGATGAATGGGCAATGTCAAAGGTTTGATGTAGAGTAAGATAATGAACAGTCCACCCGAGAGTCAAATATGTTTAATAATTTATTAAAAAATATGAATGAAGAGCTATATCCTGGATGTATGTCATTTTCGAGGCTAGCTTTTATATTACATTTATACCATTTAAAATGTTTGAATGGGTGGACTGAGAAATCATTTACTATGTTATTGGAGTTATTAGCTATTACATTTCCTAAAGGTATAATATTGCCTAAATCATTTTATGAGGCAAAAAAAAAAAAAAATCATTAAAGCTTTAGGTCTTGATTATGAGAAGATAAAAGCTTATTTAAATGGTTGTATGTTATTTTGGGGTGATAAAAAAGATTTTGAAGTATGTGATAAATGTGGTACTCCTTGGTGGCAAAGAAAAGGGTAAAACAACACGGAAGGTGATAATGGTTAGATGGAAACTTGAGGCGTTAGGAAGAAAATACCTACAAAAGTGTTACGTTATTTTCCTTTAATACCTCCTTTGCAAAGGTTATTTTATTCAAACAAAACTACTAGTGATATGAGGTGGCATGAGGAAGGTCATAAGAAAGATGGATTATTAAGACATCTTGCTGATGGAGAAGCATAGAAACATTTTGATGCTCGATTTTCAGATTTTGCTTTAGATTCTCGTAATGCAAGGCTCACACTTGCTAGTGATGGTTTTAATCCTTTTAGAATAATGAGCACTACCTATATCACATGGCCTCGTTGTATTGATTATATATAATACTTCACCTTGGATTTGCATGAAACAATCATCATTCATATTATCAATAATTATTCCAGGTGAGAATAGTCCAGAAATGATATAGATGTATAGATGTAACCTTTGATAGCAGATTTGAAAAAATTATGGATAGGTGTAGAAACGTATGATGATTCTATAAAAAAAATCATTTAATATACGAAGTCGCTTTGATGTGGACAATAAATGACTTTTTTGTTTACGCAAATTTATCAAGTTAGAGTACGAAAGGAAAATTTGCATGTCTATGTTATGCCGAGTCCACATGTTCTAAATGGTTGTACAAAAGTAAGAAGCATTGTTTCATGGGTCATCGTTGATGGTTACCTCAAGATCATATATTTCATTATCAAAAAGATTATTTTCATGGTACCGAAGAGCTACAAATGGCACCATCTAGGAAAAATGATAGTGATGTCTTAAAACAATTAGATGGCATGCATTATACTTTTGGAAAATTAGTACAACATGAGAAAAGAAAAAGAGTTATGAACCAAAAATGGATCAAAACTAATGTTAAGTGGCTCAAATTTTAAAGAAATAGTTAATACATGTAGTGATGTTAAGGATGCAAAAAGGTGGTGGAAGAAAAAAGTATATTTTTTGAATTACCTTATTGGGACCTTAACTTGTTGCGTCATAATCTTGATGTGACACGTATTACAAAAATATGTGTGGTAATGTGATTGGAACCTTAATGAACCATGCTACTAAGTTAAAGGATAATTTAAATGCACGTCTTGACTTGGTGGATTTGGGTATTAGGTTTGATGTTCACCCTCGTGTTCTTGATAATGGTAAAAGCAAATTGCCTTTTGCTTGTTTTATGATGTTAGTAGTAAAAAGAGAAATCTTTTGCAAAAGTCTTCATTCTTTAAAATTACATGATGGTTATGCATCTAACATTTCAAGATGCGTAAGTGTTAAAGATAAAAAATTAATTGGTCTTAAAAGTCATAATAGTCATATTTTGATTGAAGATCTCTTATCGATAGCATTAAGGGCATGTAGTCCATCTAAGGAGGTAACTTCGATGATAATTGAATTGTTTGGTTTGTTTAAAACAATATACTCAAAGGTGTTAGATGTGAATGAGCTTCACAGAATTCAAAACCGTATTATGTTAGCTCTTTATCGGATGGAAAGGATTTTTCTACCATCATTCTTCATTGTTATGGTGCATTTAAGTATTCATTTAGTGGAGAAGGCAAAGCTTGGTGGTCCGGTGCCATATAGGTGGATGTATCCTTAAGAAAGGTACATCATAGTAATTAATTTCACTATTTCATATTTTGATGATTATATTTACTTAACTAAGATTAATAAACTTTTTAGGCAATTTATGAGTTTGAAGTCATATGTTCATAATAGAGCTTATCCGTAAGGATCAATTGCGAAGGGTATGTAGTTGAAGAATGTTTGACATTTTTTTCAAGATACCTTGAAGGAGTTGAAACAAGATTCAATCGATCTTTGAGAAATCCCGATCCTCCTTCAAATGAACAAGAGTCAAATATTTGTTCAAAAGTGTCGATCAACCTATTGGAAAAGTTAAAGCCATCTATTTGGACAATAAGTCTTTGATTCAAGCACATCATTATATCTTATGTCATTGTGATGAAATTGAACGTTTTCACTTGTAATTTCTTCTTTTAAGTTAATAAAGTGTACTACTAATTTTATAAAATATGCTCTTATAGAATACATTAAAAATTTTCATATGTAGAGAATTCATTGATTTAGAATGAAAAAAATGATGTCAACATGCTTGTCTCGAAGTGAGGATATTGAAAGACTACTTAATGAAAAATTTCATAGTTGTTTCAACAAAAGGTAAGTAATTGAATCATTCTCGGATTAAAAACGAGGAATTAAACTATATTAATTCTAGCTTCATTCAATTTGTGTTATTATAGGTTTTAAGCATGAATGATCCGAGTATTTCGAATGAAATTTTAGCACTTGGTAAAGGGCCTAACAATGTGGCCAAGAGATTTAATGAGTTCATCATCAATGGAACCAGATTCCATAAATTGGATCGAAAAGTAAATAGATCAACTTAAAATAGTGGTGTGGTTAACGTTTCAGCTGTGGGAGGAGTTAACTAATATGGAAAATTAAGAGATATTATTGAACTAGATTATTACCGTAGTTTTAAAGTTATATTGTTTAAATGTGATTGGGTTGATGTATATCATAGTACTAGGATTAGGCAAGATGAATTTGGATATACTCTAGTTAACTTCTCATGTTTAATTCACACATGTGAGAAAGAAGAAGATGATCCATTTGTATTTTCTTCCTAAGTACAACAAGTGTTTTATGTGTAAGATCCATCAAATATGAATTAGTCCGTGGTTGTCAAAGTTAGACAAAGAGATGAATTTGATATAGGGGTAGATGATATTTCTAAAAGTGACTTCTTGAATTCTCCATATTTAGGTGAGGGGAGAAGCCCATATGGATGCGGAATGATTTAGATGATGAAATAGTTTAGATTTTTACTTATTTATTTTTACTTTAAATTATTTTTATTTATTCATTTTTATTTTATTTTTATCCTAGTTATGCATTGGTGATTATATTTTGGTATGTTTCTAATTTTTATTGATCTTATGTGGAATCATAATTTTAATATCAAGTGATATGTTGCAGTATTAGACATGGTTCAAGGATCTAAGACTTTGCGTGGATTGAGAATTGTTAGGGATGAATCCCAATGTGATCAATGTATTTTCCAAATTTTTACATCTTCTTATAGTTCACAACCTATACAAGAACAAACATGAATTCAAAGTCAAACATCTTCAGCAAATTGTTCACTACTCGTTCAAGAAGCTAAGCATGATGATTGCATGGTTAAAATTATTGGTGAG